GGGGAAGCCAGATTTGCTTAATGACTACAAAATTCATTTAACCACCAGAGTGATCCACTTAAGAACTGTGGAAAAAAGATTGTAATATGGGGCAAAACTCAGTTAACTGCCTTGCTTAACAACAGAAATTTTGGACTCAATTGTGGTAATAAGTCAAGGACTACCTGCATGTCTACAGCATTTCCCTGGTCCACTAATTTACTCATTTGTCAAAGAATGCAATAAGGTCTGTCTGGCATAATCTGTTTTTGACAAACCAATGTTGGCTTATAGTAATTTAATTTTGTTTTGAAGTTTAATTTCTTTCCCAGGCTGCCAGGAATGTTTCAGAGTAGTTATTTGCGATTTTTATTTCCCAGATACATTCTGTGAAAGGTGAACCAAAAGAAGCTAGTTCTTCTCTGGAATGGTTCCCATGTGGCTGGAAAACAGGAAATGTGGGTTTGGGGGATGGAATAGAGGAGAGGTGATATGGTATAGAGGAGGAATTTGGAGCTAGGGTTGGAAGGACTGCACAGAATATAGGTAAGATTAGAAAAGCCTATGGAACAACCTATTTTTTTTGAGGCGGTAAAGAGTTTGTGTATGTGCATTTTTGAACTTGTATGTGTGTAATCCTGAGAAATGGCTGAAATGGATCTGGCAGACTCTTAACATGCAGAGATAGTGAGACTAAATTTGTAAGTGCCAAGAAGAAATTTGTATTTTTAAATTTCTACCATTCTCTTAAAAACTACTGAAAAATGAAAGACTTGATTATTTGCTTGTATCCAGTCATCCTAGTATAGCCTTATGTTATTAATAGGAACAGTTCTATTTATTCCATAATTGGACACAATTATGTTAGCCTATAGATATGTATAGTAGGAAGCCTGTCATGAATTTGTAACTGGTTCTTTTAATTCTTCCTATTATAAGGAGCTTATTATCCTATACAAAACATATTCAAACTACTTTAAAGTATTTCGTCCAAATTAGTTGGCAACACATAAGCATATCTTCAAATGACTAACAATTTTAGGTAACTTTTTCACATGAAAATATTAGTTATGGACTGTACAATGCATTTCAACTTATCATTTTCAAGAGCAATTACATTTTGACAGAGAAGCCATATGAACGAACTCTAATTAAAATCTATCTTCTATGAAACTAAACACCCATTACTAGTATTTCATGTTTTAAAAATATAATTATTGATACCTAAATTTTAAAACATGTTTCTTTCATATTATTCAGATGTTACCTTTCTTTTTAGTTCAGCTACTGTTGATGACAGATTGGAAACAACAAGTGTCATATTTATTAGTTGAGCCTGTAGAAG